AAATATGGGGAGACATCTCCAGGTCTCTCCCGCATGGTGACTTCAGGGTAGGGCACTCCAGTTTCTTCTCTTGTCTTCAGTTTTGCTGTTTTCTATTTACTCCCCCTTTATTGCTTGTCTGGGAGCTGTGCAAGGCTGAGGGGTGGCAGGCTGGATGTGTACACTAATCTGTATTTCAGGCTGAAAAGAAAGAGAATACATGAGCAYGAGCTTAACGCCAAGCAGACAATGCCATACCAGCACTCACACAAAATACCCCAGGCAGGGATCTCAAAGGTGTTCTGCTTTTTGGAGAGGCGTGAGGTTGCCCTGGGCACACAGGTAGCTGAGGAGCAGCATCTGGGACCAGAGCCATTTTCCTGGGGGGGTCAGAAATGCCACAGGGCGACACAGGCTCCCTGTTAGCTGGGCTTAACCACAGCCTCCAAAATGCACGCTAGTGGGAAAAAACACTTTGTGGGCATAGCGCTTGTCATCACGTGGTTGCTCTGTAACTCCATGGTACACCTGGAAGCCTGCTTTTCTGAATATTTAAAGACTGATTTGAAATGGTGGCTTTTGCCATTGCACATTATTAGCTCAGGAGGCAAAAAGCACTCACGTTATAGCTAGACACTGCTCACTTGCCAAAGTCAGCACCTGTTGGGGTTAGTATATCAAAAACAGTAGAGCCTCGTCCGAAAGCTGTGGGGGAATTCCTGGTAAATGGGGATCCCAGCACAGATCTGTCTCGGCCTTTCCTAGCAGCAGCCTCTCCTTCCCCAGCCTTAGTTTCAGATGGAGACTTGCTAACTAATAACAGCAACAATAAAAAGCTACAAAGCTTGTGGTGAAGAATGAGAATTTGTAGCCCTGCAATTTAGATTCATCTTCACATTAAGTCCATTCAGAAGAGTGAAGATGCACGTCTGGAGCATTTGTATGCTCTGTGTAGGCACGCATAGCATTCCTAGGTTTGTATAGTTTTCTTAAGATATAGACATTTAGTAACATGGAGACGGTTCCTATTTATTCATTTATTTTTAGAAAAAGGCTTCAACRATTCGATAGCCCATTTTGACTGAAATGATTTAAATCAAAGCTGCAATTCTGAATCACTTTAACTATTTTTCCTTCTTGACTCCTCCCTTGAACACAGTAAGCCAATGCTACTACAGCACCTTCCCTGGAAAGGACCCCAAAATTTTGATCAAGTCCAAAGGTGGCTTTGAAGGAGTTCCTCATGTCACTTTCCTCAGTGATGTTTCTTATATACCCTCCTCCTATAGATATTAAGGACCATGGAACAGCAGTCAGGACTCCTGCCGAACCTAGACTTTTGTATTGATCTCATGAATTGATTAGTCTTTTTAAAAGCGTATTGAGAAATACGCTTYCCAGAATAGATGTTAAGAGAAAAAAAAGGCCCACAGAGGAATATTGCTTATTCTGATGATTAATTCACATGCATGAAAAAAATTAACAAGCATTCCTGCAACTGGGAGCAATTTTTACCAATATAGCATAGCAGGCAAGAGAAAAAAAAAAATCTGATTTCACAGTCTAAAAAGTTTTCTGAAAAATCAAGAAAAAAAACATGACTTTTATCTTCYTTCAAAATCCCCAGGCTGCTCAGAGCACCAAGGGGCATTATTTAGCATGGTTAGCAGGGATAACGCAAGAAAACACACGATAGATAACTTGGCGCTTTTCTCTTTTAAATGGAAAGGGAAAGGGGGAGTGGGATCAGATTTCTTACTGTAGATAACACAAATGAGAAAAAAAAAAAAAACAGTTCTTGCCCCTTGATGTAAAAATCTCACCTGCAGAAGTACAACAGACAGAGAAGCCCTGTGATAGAAGGGAACGCTGGCAGACACATTACAGTGCACAAACTGTAACCCCGTCCCTTTTCACATAAAACACACTTTCTTCCTCTGCTGGCYTCTCCAAGAGACCCCATTTTTAACAGCTTTCTTTTTGAATCCTTCACAATTCAGTTTTATCATSTTACCCCCCAAAACTGCACCTCTCAGATGGCTTATTTAGAGCTAGCTGCTGCTATGTCGCTGCGGCTTTTTGAACCAAAAGGACAGGCTTTTACTTAAACAAAGCCGTTCACACAGAAAGGTTCTTCTTTTCTTATGATGACTTCACTTTCCATCACAACTTCCAAGTCCTCGGCCACATCTACCCTCCCTCTGCCCCTCATCCAGAACGCTCGGTTCCCTCTCAGGTCCTGCAGCCACCAGCTGGGAAAGAAGATCCTGCTTCCCAAGCAGCCAGCCAAGCCAAAGGGATCAGGGGGAGCTCCCATCACTCGCCCTCCAATTCAATTTGGTGGAAATTCGGTGGAAATTCAGCCTGCTCCCCACGATGGTCACAGCCTGGGCTCTCCTCCCAGGATGTTTCACTTCCCGCTTTGCCACTGGCTGGGCCAGTTGCTCCCGCGCCTCAGTTTTCCCGCCTAAAACACACAGGTTGCTGCACGCCAGCTCCGGAAAGCGCAGCTGACGGCCTTTCGGGAGACGTGCTCATGAAGGATGTAGCAGCTGAACCGCCTCCGAGCCCCAACACTTGGGGCTGCCACGTTTTCATGCTGTGCGAGCGCCACGGCAGGGATCCCGGAGCTCAGGCTCGCTGCTGTACTGACCATGAGCATGCTGTTAAAAGTTAGAAGCAAAGCTGAGGAGATGATTTCAGGGCAGAGTCAGCAAAATCCTTTCCCAAAACCAGTAGCAGTTTTGAGCAGAGCAGCCAGTGTTTGACCCTGTGTCTGGGTGGGCGTCACGGTGGCTCCTCAGCAGCAGCCTCATCGCCCAGCACTTCAGCCTGCCCCCGGGCTGACCAACTCCTTGGGACGTTGCTGTGAAAAGCTGGGCCTGATGCCGGCTGCACATGCTTGTGAACTGCCAAGACAGACACATAGACACACAGGCAGGGAAAGAAAGTCTCCCATTCTCTCGGTTTGCACGAGTAGCTGGTTTAAACTCAACCGGTAGCAAGGGCCTGAGCTGCGGTTCTGCTATAACAGTTGCAAATATTTACCTTACATGGGCAAAAAAACCTACCGTGCAGGGGAAAAAAAAAAAAAAAAAAAGAGGAAGACTTGCACATAATACAGCAGTGACATAAGCACAGGAACAGAAGGGAGCATTTAACCACTCCACCCACCACCACACACACACCTTGGCTATGTTGGACTATCGAGAAATCCTTGAGATTCTCTCAAGAAAACTCTGGAGAAAACTGGGACACAAGGACGGGCCTGACTTCTCATTTTTGTTAGAGGCTAACAGCCAAAAACAGCTCAGGAAAAGAAAAATCATTTCAGCTGCCTTTAACATTCGACTCAGCAAAAAACAGAAGTCTTGGCTTCTCTTAAAAAAGTGTATTTATAGTGAACATACACATCTCTAAATCATACACTCACCGTCCCAGTATGGATTGAGAATTCTGCTGCATTTTAAGAAAAACATTTAAAAAGAAGCAGATGCAGCAGTTTGAAAGTACCTTGGAAAATTTCRAGAAGTACAAATTGTCCCCATTTGCCTCAGAAGTGATCAGACTTGCTTTTCCTGTTGAAAGTTATCCATACTAGAACATAGAAATGTGAGAAAGGCAACAGAAAATAAACCAGTTCCAGTAGAGGAATAAGCATTGGGTTTTCAGCTGTAATGTGCCTCTTCTTCCCTTTCTCTTTATAGGAGAAATATATAAAAGTGTTGCAAAACTGCGTCTTTATAAGCAGATTCTCTTGCCCGGCTTAGTAACTCACATCAGAAGAGAGAACTTGAGTGGAGGACAGAGCACAACTGCACGTCTATGGTCTAGCGTGTACTAATGAACCAAAGGTCTACGAAAATACATTCCTAGAATCAGCTTGTGCTTGAGCTGCTCAAGTTTTGCAACTAAAGCATGGGAGCTGTGGTTAACATTCAAAAAGATTCGCTCCTGCTGGTTGAGTGTAGTATCTCTAAACAAGTCTCCTACAAACAATTATTATATTTCACGGCTATTGAATATAATACTAAATTACACTACAGCAATAGATATTAATATGTAGTAAATTATATATATTYTACTAATATTCAGTAACTGTAGCGTGGTCCACAATGGCCTCACACTACGGAGAAGCCGCCACAGGTATTACATCTGCACTTAAACAGTTGCCCATTTTCATTTCTCCCTTGAAACTGGAAAGCAGCCCAAACCACAAAAACACTTTTCCCCTCCAAAACCCAAGCCAGCCACTTCAGGTWCCACGGGAAGTCTTTGCACATTCTCAGCCACAGGCTGCGCAAGTATTTGAATCCATAAGGGCAGAAGCTCACCCTTGAGAAAATGATTATAGAAGGTAAGCACCATCCACAAAAYGCAAGACAAACCTCCACTCAAATATCAATACTTTGCTTTGGCATCATCACTTTTTCGCTTTGATGGCTCGTACTGTGTTTATGGCACAAAAGACAGGCCTGGTAAGAAATCCTGCACTCAAAACTATAATACAGACATGAATGGTGTTTTTCCTTTTTTTTTTTTTTTTTTAACCAGCTCAGGTAATAACAGACAATATGTTAAATAATATACCAGGAATAAAATTACTGAAAGTACAGTGATGTTTTACTTTGCACCAGATCTTCACTACATTTTTTAAGGAGTAGATAGCTGGTTGCTTCCATAAGTTTCCATTCAATACCTTCACAATAACTTGCCATTATCACAGACATAAGCCTAGACAATAGCCAGGACTGTATCTGAAAACCTTGTTTTTTAAATAGGTATTAAACTACTCAGAAATTTTTCTATTGGAAAGGTCGCAGAAGACAGATTTCTGAGGGTATTTCTAGCTTAAGGTCACCTTTTCAGCAACACTCTCATCAGCATCATTTATTTGGTTATATGCTTATGTGGAAGGCAGACAGAATACTTTTTTCGTGATTTTTATATATATATATATATAAATGCATCTACATACATACATATGCTAGATAGGTGCTATATATACACACATACACCTATCTAGCACAAGGTATAATTGTCTTCTAAAAGTATATAGATTATTATCCTGGCTGGCAAACCTGTAATGACCTCTGAAGTTGCACAGCAGAGATGTGGTCTTGCAGTTCACCAATGTGGGAGATCCAAGACCAATTTATAGTTTCCATCCTCCTTCTGTGGCCATGCAATGACCAGAGTCAGAAAGCAGAAGTTCAAGGGAAGCAAAGTTTCAGCAAAAAGTTCAGCTTGTGAAGTTTCAGCAAAAAAAAGCGAGACTTTTGGAAATTTGTTACTATTTTCATTGGCTGTGCTTTTTATTTAAATTTGAAAAATATACATAAATCAAAACAGGCCCAAATCTGCCCAGTTTTGATCAACAATTTGAATTTGGTCTCTCGCATCCCAAACAAGCATCTAAAGTTGACTGTGATGCAAATGGATGGATCAGTTCTCTCCAATGCAGCTTCAACCTCAATCAGAGAGAAATTCTCAAAACAAATATTCTCAAATATACTACACATACAGGAAAAGACTGAGCTCTGATGAACCATTTCTTTTTCTTCAAATAACAAAAAACATTTGTCTCTGAACTCACAAGCAACTGTAGCAACACAGTAAAGCAAAAGGAGAAATCAAGCCCGGGTCTTTCTCTTCATCTCATACTGCCTCRGATGGATTACACACTTTTTGTGCCTCAGGGAAAACTTTTCTTGCRTATCTTCCAGTAATATTTCCAGTGTCTTCACCTTGCTTAAACATAATTCCTTGGAGCTTCTAGCTTAGTTATATCACCTCCAATTGAGCAAAAGCACAAAGGTGATAATTATTCCCTATAATCTCGGTCCAATCTTGGCTTGTCTTACACAGGGGCAATTAATTTTCCAAAGAGCATCAGGATGGAAAAAAGAAGTTAAAAAGAAATTGGAATGGTATTTTTAGAATTTTATTAACTGTAAGAAAATCTCAAAATTAAAAGGGGATAGTCTGTTTGGAGAGCATTCATATATACCTATAAATGCCAACTGAGCAATACTTAACMAACTATTTACAACTGTGTCAGCAATCAACTGCTGAACATTAATCAATGTAGTCAAAATCTTCTGGGATTCCAAAGCTTTTGTCAATTCTGCTTTCTTCAAATCCAAATTTACGCTTGGCCCAGGACTTTATTGCAAAGATGTTATCTGTAAACAGAATGAAAAACATTTTTATTAAGAAATCAAAAATTACAGTCTTGGCTACAGTCTTGGCACTGCAAGAATTATAGTGTTTGCACTACTGCTGAATATATGAAAAAGATAGGTAGTTGGAAAGTATCTGAACATCATTACTAAATATATCTGATACATCAGCAAGATATTTGCTAGTAAGATTATTTTACTCAGTACTAAATAAAATGATTTTTTTTTAGAGGTTGTCTTGATCTTTTCTTGCTCTTCCTCTAGCACAAGACCAAAAGCTACASTTACATTGTAAATCTATTCCTCATGGCTGATGAGGAATATGCGAATAGGCATAATAAGTATTTTATTGGTCCCATAATAAGTACATTATTGGTCCTTTTTCAACTAGACATCTATTGGGCAATTATCTTCAACTGCAAAATCAGACATCAATCAAACATGCATTCCTTTCCAGTCCTGTGTATATTTTACATATAAATATAAATATTTATATATACACATATAAATATATGTATATAAATATAAATAAATATTTATATGCATATAAATATAAATAAATATAAAATGTATTTAGCTTAAAAGAAGCAAAAAAAAAATAGAATACATTCCAACAGCTTTGCTTTGGTCAGCATTTCTCTTTTGGCATCACATTACTCTTACTTTGGCCATGCACTCCCTCCAGTTTAACATATTGTTTCTTTGCAGTACTGGCTGAAACTCTACTTCACTGCTAAACCCATAGATCACAGCATTGTTTGAGACTGTTTGCTGTGCCCGTACACCGTGGTAATCTCTGCCTTTTCTTCAGCCACCAGAACGTAAATTTAAAATTGCCTCTTCAAGAGAAAGAAGCAATATGCCACAGCATACAGTCGAATTCTCGAGGCTGTAAAGTACATTATACAAATAAGGACATAGTTTCATCATCTCTCTCAAAAACTTGAGAATAAGAACCTTAGTCATCATCAGCAAAAAGCCTTGGCAATCGGATCCCCAGAAGTGATTTTCTGAATATGTAACCTGATTTCCTCATAAGCAGTGAACAATCCGATTCAAATAAAGATATAAAATAGGACTATGGCTACAATCTCCTGCCGCACGTGGCACAGCAGATGATAGCGAGCAAGTGCCTTATCAGCAGATGAATTCTAAACAAAAAATTACAAACAACACTGCAAAAGAATAATAGCAAAAAAATGAAGTAAGGACATACATATTCCTTGCTCCGCAAAACAGAAATATATAGCAATATAACAGGGCTTCTCAACAGAAAATTGAGGTGAACTTCCATGCAAATATTACTGTAATACCATGTAGCACTTTTATCTTGTGTCAAAGCTGATGAATTTGCTTGAGAAATAACTATATCAGCATCCATCATATGCTGGCAGCAATGAGATTCCACACAATGTCCCACTCTCCAGAATCAGACCAAAATTCAGAAAATCGGACTTTCTGAATACCTGGAACTATGGCAGTGCTAAACTCTCAGCAACCTTTCTGTTAGAAYTCTTCTCCTCTTAAGCTATTTAAGCTCTCTCTCTCTCTCTCAAAAACAAAAGCCCTCTCCTGAGGTGCATGTTTCAACATGGTTTATAAGGCCGTATCAGAAGAGAAAATCTGTTAAGAGATGTGAAACACGCTCAGTAATTAACCTGCAAAAGCATATTATCTTTGGATCATGATCAAGCATATCCAAAATATATTTGCTTATGTTTTGGAAGGTGAAGGTCCTTCTAGATGAAGGCCTAATAAAATATAACGTCCTTGAGCAGAAGAGCTCCTCATTGTTGAAGCACTAGAGTCTGAAGCCGGGGGAACCACGCAAGTGCGTACGCACCCGTCCATCGGTTGGCTGCCTCCTTGGCTACTTTGTTTGTTTGGCCTGAAATGAAGAAACAAAACAAATCAAATCAGAAAAGCAGGTAAGCCTAAGTCAGGTGCAAATCACACGATGGTTTCAAGGCATCGAGATTTTTAGCAACGTCATTTTGAGACACCCACAGAATATAAGGAAGTTAATTCTACTGCCTCCAAATCCTTCTTTTGTTTTCGTTTTTAAGGTTCCATCAAGCGTGAAGCTACGGTGAAGAGCAACACAAGCAAAGGAACATAAAAGATACCACACATACAGCTGCAAGTATTTTTATTTTATTGTATTTTACACTTCAAAGCAGCTCGGTCTGCCTGGGGGCTTGTCTGTACCCAGAACAGAACTAGGTGTATAGCCTCAATACCCGGCAGGCAACAAAGATGGAAAACGTTGCATTATCCTCTCTGTATGTACACAGTCTATCACACACGTACGTGTGATATGTATAGGGAAAGCACCAAGAGGAACTGTCTGTCACAGAAATCCACACGCCCTTGGAAGGCTCCCTCGGCTCTGAGGGCCCCCTTGATGAAACAGAGACGAAATAATGTTCCTGGTTATTAAAGGCGGCTTCTCTCCCCAGCCCCAGCCCAGATCTGAATTTGTAATTGCAAATTACCATTACTACAAATAGCTTTTATACAGTTTCCACGAGGCAAAACAGTATCAAAGCAAATTCCTCCTGAATCATCTCGTTCCCATTAGGGTAAATTCTGAATCAAACAGGCTGCTTTCCAACGTGGGAATTTATCAGAATCATTATGGTTCTCACACCTACACATAAGTTAATYATTCCCAGCCAGTCTTGTTAGCACTTGCATGATAATGCTCATCAGGATGGTCAGCACCAAGTCGGTCTCCAGGGGTCCCGAGAGGTGAATATATGATCAGGTATCTATTGTCATAAAGATTACACTTCAGGCAAAAATTAATGAACTTCAAAAACCACCAGCTAGCCCACAGGAAGATAGGTGCTCATTATTCTACCCGCAATGCTTTGGTTAGTGTTGTGAAAATTGTAGAAATCAGAGTGAAATACTGTTTCAAAGGCGGCATTGTTTCTAAAGAAAGCCTAAAGACAACTTTCTAAAGATAATTACAAGYTTTGGACATATTGTAAAGAAAATTCATATGAAAGATGGGCAGAGCGGGTGAGAGGAGAGTTTTTGCTTGTTTGCATAAGCAGAAATTCAAGTAATCCCCAGCCTGAGCGCGCTATTCCTTACTTTGTTTGCTGACTTTTCCCTGCCAGCCCCGCTTGTCCAGGTCCATGAATGGCAGCATTGACAACATACTGGCAGCCAACACATTAAAAACAGTATTTCACCTAATACTACATAAAGCAAGCCTGCAGAGCAAGTGTTTTTCCTGGTCAAGATTTAAATGAGTTAGCTATGCTGCTCCATTTAGTATGTTTTTAAACTCCACAGCAAAATGGGGAAGCGGTGTTTGATTCCAAGTAATGAGGTTTGAAATGGGGAGAAAAGGTGTCTACGTCAACTCCATGAATCCGGGAGCAGCAAGGTGAGAGCATCCCGGTGCTAGGGGGAGCCAACCGATCCCGCAGCACCTGCCGGATCCCAGCAAGAACCTCTGCTTTCCTGGAAGCAGCTGCACGCGGATCCTGCAGCTTCCTGCAGGCACACTGGCCATACTGGACTGTGAACTGGAAAATCAAAATAGTGGTAGCCAGCCTCCCAGCACAGCTTATGCATGCTGAAACACACACCTACGGTGCTGTGCTCCCAAAATGCGTCTTCTAGATCAAAGAACAAGCTGGAGTGACCCAGAGGGAGGCTGGGCAGAGGGAGGCTGGGCAGAGGGAGGCTGGGCAACACCGTGGTTAAAATGCTGGTGGCTGCCTATGGCAGGGCTGCGGCTAGACATGAAATCATGATAGCAAGCGCAGGAAGCTCTAAGAGGAAACCTCGCTGTGGGTAGAGCCTTCCATAGCTAAAATAGCACAGAAATAACCAAAAAAAAAGGAGAAATATTTCAACCATGTCGTCCATTCTTCCATGCACCACGTGGGCCTGGTCCCAAGCTGGCAGCCAAGCGTCACGCAGAAGCCCGGGAGGGAGGATCCGCAGCGTGGGCACAGCTTGGCCGCGGCGCGGGGACATTCACACCGGCCGGCTGCAGCGGATCAGGGAAGCGGCAGCCTCAGTCCTCCACAGGCTGGCCGAGGGACCAGGACAGCAACAGCAGGGCCGGCTGGTGGGGCAGGYTGCGCAGGCCACGGCTTAACCACCAACTGCACCTCAATTCACATCTATTTATTTAGGGGCGCTAAGGGGTGAGGGAAAGCGATGGGGGAAAAAAAAAACCACACCTCGAGCACTTCCCAGAAAATACTACATCATCACCTCGGCATCATCACCCTGGGGACCCAGGGCTAAGGGTTGAGCACTGGGCTATCCAAAGGCAAGATGAAAATCCACTGGGATCTGGCTTATCTCCTCCCTATGAGTCCACCCCAGGATTTTGTGCGCCTGCTGTATCCAATGCCTTGCCTAAACCAGCAAGGAGGAATAAATATTGGGTGGCATGGATGACAGTCCCCCAGACACCAGCTCCACCTGCATTATCTCCAACATTTTAGTCCCAAAAATGGGAAGAAATGGAGGAATMTGACTTCAGTAATTTATGGAAGTCTTTTATAGTTACCTGTTTGAACTTTGAGTGGTTGCACCATGTGTATGTGCACAGAAAGTGAGAAAAAGGAGGGAAAAAAAAAAACATTCCTGTCCTTTTCCCCCTACAAATCCTACTTACTGACAAAATTTAGGGTCCTGCTGTTTCTAATTCCCTAGATCCACAGGGTTATGCAGCAACTGGCATCCCTATTTCTTTACACTGCTTTGAAAGACTAACTTTAAAACCCAATGAAAGCAACGGCACGGAGGCTGGAAGAYGGAGACTTCTCAAAGTCTGCCACGGGAGCAAAGGCACCAAAGGTACGAGGGAGAGCGGAGGCAGCGCTGCGGGCGGCTGCCCCAACCAGCAGGCTCTGCTGGCGGGTGCAGCGCTGGGCACCCCGGCRTGTGCTGCAAGGCCAGCGGTCAGAGGCCACTCCGGAGCCGTCCGCCTGGGAGACTGCTCTTCCCTTAACCCTGTGTGCCTGGGAGAGCTGCGGGAAACCGGAGCAGCCCCTGCTTCTGGCAAGGCAGTGCTTTCCTAAGCGGCCTCTATCGCAAGGACAGCCCGCTGCCTCCCCGCAGAGGGGAGCAAAGTTAGAGAGCGCAAGGCCCAACTGCACCAAATGTCTAAAGAGAAAAGGAGAGGCTGGAAATGAGCGCTTTAATAAGGGCAATGGCATTGTGACAGAGCCTGCAGGGATCAAGGAGCGGAACAGGAGACACAAGTGGCAAAACGCCTTGCAGAACTGCGGTGAGAGGTGCAGTAAAAGCTTTCCAAGGCAGATGGACAATATCTGCTCAGGAGGAATGTCTAGAAGCACACACACAGGGAAGGCRAGCACAGCGATATTTCTGAAGCAGTTTGCACTGGCACTAAGTATTGGCTCTTTCTTACAGATTACTGATACTTCAGCGGCTGAAAAAAATCACAAAAGTCACAATAACAACGACGACAACAACATGTGGAAGCATTTTCCAGAGCTGCTTTCATATTCTTTCTAGAAAGAAAGTACGGAAAGCGTTTTAAAATCCCCTGCCTATGGGAGCAGTCACTGAATAGCATCCCAAAGTGACAACAGTAACAGATTCCAGTTCCAACAGCTATGCTGAAAAAAGCCTCAGCAGCCAGAACTTGTTCACAACCACCTACAGGCTTGGAAATGAAGAGTGAGCTGAAGCCCTCTTTCCTCTCCTAGTTTCAACCTCGCCTTCTTCAAGATCTCTTTAAAGATTACTGTGAGTAATGTTTGTTTGTTTTTAATATTTAAAACTTTTTTTTTTCCAGGCCAGGAACCCTCATATCTTTCCCCACACAGTAACAGCAGCTACACCTACCAAACCAGCACGGGCTGGTGCCAGTGTGACCCGCGAGCCACTAATGCTGCTGGACAATTCAGTGGGTTTCCCGCTCGCCAGGTGAGCGGCTGCAGGGAGCAGCAGCCACCCCTCCAGGGTACAGTCACCCACCAAGCTGGAGGGCTGGTAGCCCACACATGCAAAATACAAGCGCAGCCTTCGGCACGTGGGCGAGGGAGTAGCTTTGCACTGTGAATGGCAATTCCCTGGAACGAAATGCGGGAAACAGCTGCAATTCCGCTCACAGCCGAGCGTGGGTTATTAGCACAAAACCTCCCCATCTCTCTCATGAAACTGGGCAGGGTAAATTAACTCAATTGGGGGGTTGAATTCCAATAGTAAGTCTGCATCCATTTAGGTCTTATTTAAATATGACAAATAGCAACCACAACAAGAATAGTAGAGGAGCCTGAGTCTCCCACGACTCCTCCTGCTCAGTGCTGTCTACAGCACTCGCCCGTCTGCCCACTCTGTCTACCCACTCTCCTGCTCTCAGACTGCCCTCACTTTCCAGAAACGTCATTTACCTCGTTCTTGTGTCACTGGAACAGATTTGACTATGTATTTATATTTATATATTTATATATTTATATATTTTATTTTACTATGTATTTATATTTATATTTACTATGTATTTATGTGTGTATAAGATGGACAATTCCCCAAATCCTTACCATTAATGGAAGTGAGAAAAACTCATGTGAGAACTCATGTGGGAAACCATGTGAGAAAAACAGCCCATCTCTACCTGGCTACTCAGCAGCTCCTACTGACACGTCCATCCACAGGCTGACACCAGAGGCCCTGGCCAAGAGCCTGCAACTTGCCATGAGAGACTGTCCATGGCAATGACRTGATGAAACAACAAAGACATTAGAAATGCCTCGTTTTACATTTAGATACTGAACAAAGTTCTGGAACTATGACAAAAAATAGTCAAGCTATTACAAGGCTTTCCTACAGATCTACAACAATTTTGAAAAGTGCAACATAATATGATACAAGCCATTTGTGATG